GCTTTTTGTCACTCCCTTTCTTGACTCAGTATTCTTATGTTCGTTCTGCCTCGGATACTAGTCTTTTCCTTTTTTCTGCCTTACAAATGCTTACTCATTCTTAAATAACAGCTATATTATTTCTCCTGTGAAGACCTGCCCACTGTCTCCGGCAGAGTCACCTCCCCTTCCTTTGCCCACTATACATTGTTTATTCCTCTTTTATCGTACATGCCACATTGTATTGGCCATCTCCCACCCGTTCCTATTTATCTTTGTGACTTCAGCTTTTGGCATGCAGTCTGGCGTACAGCGAATGCTCAAGGAATAAGAAATGAACGAACGATACAGAAGAACCTAAAGATATTGGTAGTCATTGGGGGAGCATAGCAGAAAATACAGTTCTATGTAAAATGTGAGTGTAGGGGATGGGCGGTAATAGACTAGAAGTTGGGGAGGGGGGGTTTAATGCTTTCCAGACTTCTCAGCTCAGGCACCTCTAGTGGTAGAGGGTGGTGGGTATGGAACCCCTTGGGGTTGGGAGCAAAGCCCCAAGCAGCCCTTTTGCTTCAAGCACAAAATAACTGAATATTTTTAACATATGCATGTTTTATCTTTAGAAATTCATGCATATTTTGCATCCTATTTTATTATCTGTGAATTTGTTTTAACACGAAAATACTTCTTCTCCTCACCTACCTCATTTTCTAGTAACTAAATGCTGCAGGAACATGTGTCATTTCTCCTCTGGCTTCTAGCACATTCTGGCATGCTCCAGTGCCCAAATCTGGAAAGCATGGAATGGGGTTATAGTCTAATATGGCACACTCGAGCTTTCTGCGATTTGGGGATTGTCTCCTCAGGAGTATTATGTCATGGAACCGAGGAGGGTGAGCTCATCCTGCTCTGACTAACGCGGCTGTTCCTGGAAGGCTGCAGTCAGTTGGAGGCACCTCATTACCAGATCACTGGGGACTAGCTGGAGAGAGTTCACAGAAGACCCACAGGAATGATTAAGAGACTGGAGGGGCTGACTGATGAGGAAAGAATATAAATGAAAACTGTATAACTTGGCTGAACCAAGATAGCAGGAATATACAACTATGTAAATATCCCAAGAGTATAAACTTGATGGAGGAGGGCAGTCTTTTATGGTGGGATTTTGGGGTGAGGAGCATTAACCAAGGGTGGAATTAAGCAAAGGAAAATGTAAATTAATAATCTGAAGCGCCCTAGCTGGGTGGCTCATTTGGTTGGAGCATCGTCTTGTACTCCGGGTCCGATCCCCGGTGTGGGCACCTACCTAGGTTGCGGGTTTGATCTCCTGCTGGGGTGCCTGCTGGAGGTGATTGATCGATGTTTCTCTCTCACATGGATGTTTCTCCTTCTCTCTCTCTAAAGTCAATACATATATCTTCAGGTGAGGATTAAAAAAATAGAATAATTTAGTATCTGGTGGCACACTTTATTTCTTGGAACCTCCTTAGTTAGACCACTAACCTACGGGCCTTTTGCTAATTGAATGATTTGTTTTTTTAATTTGATTTCCCTGGACTCGTGGGTAGTGCTTCTGTGCCGAGAATGCTGGAGACTACATCTTGCTCAAGTCTACGTTTGTCCTGTCTTGTTTCGTGGAACCCAGTGGGTGTTACTTGGAACTCCTGTGTGCTGCCACTGCCTCTTCATTCCCCACAGTTCTAAGTGGACTTTCATATTTTTTTTTCCCACAGCTTTTTAGAATAGTGCTTTAAAAGTAGAGAGTGAGTTGGTGATATACCTTGTGATACTTTTAGAAACCTGGCTGTAGTATTTGGTTCCTGAGGGTGCTGGTTTTAGGAAGTTACAGCCTTGGTGAAATGCAGGCATGTTGGTATGAAACACATACTTTGGGAAATGATTGTATAAAATTCCTACTTGGGGTGTGAGAGGCATAAAACTTTTAAATAACAGTTGAAAATAGCCAGGAGAAATATTTGCAAAATGTTGCTCTTAAGTGGGAATAGTAGAACTGGAAGAAAATGATTTGATGCTTTTTTGATTTATAAAAATGAGTTCATAAGGAAGACCTCTACTCCAGAGATGGGTGAACTTTTTTTGTAAAGGGTCAGATAGGAAAACTTTGTCGGCCATACGTCTCTGCTGCAACTACTTGATTCTGCTGTTGTAGTGCAAAAGCAGTCAGGCCATATGTAAACGAATGAACTTGGCTGTGTTCATTTTTCTTTACAAAACTTTTTTTTTTTTTTTAAACAAACACAGGCAGCTGTCTGGATTTGGCCGGGAGGCCGTAGTTTGCCAACCCCTGCACTGGACCCCTTGCTCCCCAGCGCTTGATCTGCAGACCAGCACCATCAGCATTATCTATGAGCCTGTTAGAGATGCGGATTATTGGGTTGGTCCCTTCTCAGGCCCACTGCTCTAGAGTCTAGACCATGCTTGTCAAATTCTAATGTGCATTTTAATGTGCATAGAAATCACCTGGGAGTCTTGTGAAAGTACACGCTCTGAGACAGACTTTGAGCATCATACTAGCCACTGGGAGGCCAAGATGATTAAGACCTAGTCAGTTTCCTCAGGAAGCCCACAATCCATTAGGACAGACCACTGTATAAACAAATAATTACAATATAGTCTAATAAATGCTGTAATAGAGGCGTCTTCAGAATAGGAGTATTACAAAGAAGGAAGTGCTTAGTTCTGCTCAGAGGGGCCTGGGAGCTGGACCAGGAGAGGAGGTGGTGCTTGAGTCGAGTCGTGAAGCTCATTAGAGACACTGAAGCTTTGGGAGCAGTGGATCGGGGGCTGGTAAATATGGTAGTCCATGGTGGGGCCCAGTAAAGATAATAGAACTAGGAGTTATTTGGTTTAATAATCAAATAGCTAATCACAGGGTTGGAGGCGCACTAAGATCACAATTAACAGAAATAAAAGTTTAGTACATTCTATAATCTTTAGCTAATTTTTTAAGTGTTTTCTTATTTGAAAAAGGACATCTTGCCTGTTCTTCCCCTTTGCAGAAAGAGAAGTGTTCTCCACAATTAGAAACTTTTTATATGTTCTTGCATCATTAAGAATTTGGAAAACACTAAATGCAGAGGTAGAAAATAAAAATAATTTATAATTCCATGCATCAAGAGATGACCGCTGTTAACATTTTTGAGTTGTTCCTTCCAGTCCTCTTTATGTAATGTCATATTTTTAAAAATGGGCTCACGCAATGTAAATAATTTTTTGCTTGCTTTTTCATTTAACATTTTATTTGTGAGCAATTCCTTGTGTTGTTATTCTTTAAAAGTGTCATTTTAAAAAATGCTTATATAGCATTCTAATGGTTCTCTTATAGTTTATGTAACTCATCTCTTGTTTGCAGATCCTTTAAGCTGGTTCCAATTGCTCGTTGACCCACGTTTTGGCTCATGTACTTGGCAAGTCTATCACCATATTTTAAAATAAATACATATACGCGTACTTATTTATCTTTAATTATAAAAGTTTGCCAACTTGTTTGATGTGCTGGCCTTTACTCATTTTGTTCTTGTGCTTTTATTAGCATTTTATGTTTTCTTTCTTGATTTCCCATGGTAAAGAGGCCATAGAGTATTCATTGAAAACATGAATTCAGGGTGCAGGTTGTCCGGGTTTTGACTCAACTTGACTACTTAGTTGTGTGTAACCTTGAGAAAGTGCCTCAGTTTCCTTATCTGTAAAATAGGGATAATTACATCTTTCTTTCTTGGAGTCGTGAGTTAATACATATGAAGTACCAAGAATAGTTCCTGCCATATATTGGGTTGGCCAAAAAGTTCTTTTTTCTTTCTTTCTTTTTTTTTTCCCGTACGATGGCTCTAGTAGCGCTTAGTTGTCTTTAACTTCATTCAAAACAATTTTGTTAGATTGTGTTGTGACAGCTGTCATGTCAGTGTGCATTAAAAAAATCAAAATTGGAGAATTTTTGTGTGGTCATTTTAATATTGAGGACTGGAAGAAAATAAGGAGCATATTTGGCATATTATGCTTCATTATTTCAAGAAAGGTAAGAACACAACTGAATCACAAAAAAAGATTTGTACAGTGCATGGAGAAGGTACTGTGACTGATCGAAAGTGTCAAAAGTGGTTTGCAAAGTTTCTTGCTGGAGATTTCTTGCTGGATGATGCTCTACAGTCAGGTAGACCAGTTGAAGTTGATAGCGATCAAATCAAGACATTAATTGAGAACAATCAATTCTCAAACAATGTTCTACCGTGTGGGAGATAGCTGACATTCTCAAAATATCCAGATCAATAAAGTTATTGGTGAAAATGAAAAATGTATCTTTTAATTTATGGAAAAAAACTAAACAGACTTATTTGCCAACCCAATAGAAAGAGACTATGTCTTTTCACTTAGTGATTAGTAGGTGCTTCTCATTTGTTTTATGGTGATTATTTGTATATGCTTCACAATAACCTTCTTTCTGCTACATTAGTTCATGATTATCTTTGAGTGACAGACTTAATTTACTGAACTTTATTACTTAGTGACTTTATCGTGAAAGTTCAGAGCCCCCCCCCCCCGCCGCCCTTACTCACAGTAGCAAACTCTACTGTTTGAAAGGTAAGATCAGCATTCTTTAACCAGGTCTGGGAAATACATGGGGAGGCCCTCTGTAACCTGTCCCCTTGGTCTCATTTCTCTTCACCTTGTTGCCAGACCTTGTGCTCCAGCCCCATCAAACTGAAAGTGGGCATGTGGCTGTGCGAGGCTCACTCTGAATCTGTGCTCTAGTTTGCTTCTACTGAAGGTCTGGAATCAACTGTAGTGGTGGAGCTTCCTTCTGGGAGTAACACAGAGCAATGAGGTTGCCACTTGACTTTTCTTGTGGAGTTTTAATTGGGAGAACTTGGTCAGAGTTTACCTGCCCTTGGTTATTTTTAGCATCTCAGGGTTTCCACTGCCTGCTCTGCCTCCTCTTTTTTTGTCCTCTGGGGATTCTTTTTCAGAAATAAAAATCTATTCCACCAACCTTTTTTTCTCCGTAGGATTGGATCCTGAGACAGAATAGATGCATCCTTTGGCAGCTGATTGCACCTTCCACTAGAGACAGCAGCCCAGGGATGAAATATTTTGGGGTTCTATTTCTTCATTCTGGAAGCCATCCAGTTTGTTCCAGAAACATTGATCATCTCCTTCCTTGACATACCCTTAATGAAAGTCTGATGGACAGACACTTTTTGTTGACCTTTTGGCTGTGTTCTCTCATGTGGGAGTTGAAGACAAGGTGAAAGGGCCAAGTTACCTGCTCTGGTGAATAGGAGCGCTCCACTTGGTTCTTGGAACATGGGCCCTCGTTTAAAGGTAAGGCAATTAGTTAAGAATCACTTGTTTCTGGGATGCAGAACATGAACTCAGGGACCAGTTCCTATACCTTTTCAGCAAACAAAAACTGTTGAAGTACACAGTTGCAATTACTTGGCTCTTGGCAGAGTGTCTTTGACTATAAAGAAATCAATTCTCCATTTCTGGGAAATGACTTTGCACAACTAATCTTCAATGTTAGGGCTAAAATTTATTTGATGTAATTATGAATCTTTCTACTCCAAAAAAAGCAAAGTGTTTTAGAATATGTATATCAATCTACTTTCTAACATTCCCCCGAGAAAGGTATTTTCAAGTATTTCCCCTCGTCTTCTGCTTTTGTAGGTAATGTGAGCCAAAGTGCTATAGTGTTAAGCAACTTGCTGGGGATCTTTTAGTAAGCAAGTGATATTTCTGCATTAGATAATTGGTACCACATTCCATTTTCCTCTGTCATGCTTTATTTTTATTTCAAAAGATTTAAAAGGGGGCCGTAAGCATTTATCTTTCTAATTTTAGCCTCATGGTAAGATTTTCACAGCAAGATTGGATAATGTTCTTTATATCTTTTTTAAAACCTTTTTTCTTAAATCTCCTCTCTTCAGAAATACTCCACTATACCTGTGTTTCCATTCTTTTTTATTATTTAGTATTGTATGAGGTTAAGAATGTTGGGATTCAGAGGGACATGGACTTGAGTCTCAGCTCTGTCACTTAACCAGCTGGAAGATGTTCAGCAAGTTAACTTTTCTAAGTCCAGCTTTTTAAAAAAGAATCTGTAAAATGAGAATAATAATGCTTACTTTACCAAGGTTTTATGGTGACAACTATGTAAGCTAACATGTAAAACACTTAATGCAGTGTTTGGCCCATTGTAAGTGGATCAGTAAGGGGGTGTATGTTATTGGCATGTAATAACTAAGAGTATGCAGGTTATTACATACTACTCTTATTCTGCCAGCTTAGGGTATCACAGTTTGCTGAATTGTATAAGAGCAAGAATGCTAAAGAGAGGAATTTGAAAACAAAGTATTCACATAGTTGAACTGCAAGAAGTAGTATGGCAGAGGCTTAACATACTGCTTCTTTGCGCTTGAATTAGACTCGGGAAGAGTTCCGAAATCACTTGATGAAGAAGTGTGAGCAGCAGAAAGTGGAGGCTGCTATTGAAACTTGTTGAAAAAGAAAAGCTCAAGATGAGGAAAATAGGAGAGGAAGATAGGACCATAAAACTGGATACCATGCCATCCATGAGAACTCATTACTCTAGGCATAGCTATTTGATTCATGCTTGTAGCACTGAAGGAAATGGGGAACTTTCGGTCTGAATATGGCAGTATATTCACTTGGCCCTGGCTCAAATGGATATACTGCTAATTAGGGAAGTCTTATTAAAGCTACATTTAAAATGGAAGTCCTCACTGGAAAATTCCTGATCCCTAGACATTCTGGACAAAGAAAAAAACAAACATTTGACCCTATTCATTCAGATGTTTTACTCATATTTATTGCAATTACTATATGCAGTCATGTTGGATGCTGTGGAGAATTTTTAACACTAGTCTTTCCCTCATACTGTTTCTCACCCCGACATGGAAAATAAAACAAACAGGGACTAAAAGAGAACATAAGTGGTATAAAGGAATTCAGAGAAGATCAGGAGTTTTTAAATAGAGGATCAGGGAAGATTTTAGGAGATAGGGTTTTCCCTAAATTTTAGGGTTAGGAGATACTTCATGGATAGAGACTGAGATGGGGGAGGATAGTTTAGGCAGAGGAAATGACTTCGGCAAAGGCACGGAGATGGGGCATTTGAGAGCTCCTGTGTAAAAGTGTGGAGGATCTGATTTGGATAGATGAGAGATTTTCAACCTTTTTCATCTCATGGCACACATAAACTAATTACTAATATTCTGCAGCACACCAGAAAATATATTTTTGCCAATGAGGGGAGAAAAGATATTAATTTTGATTTATTCACATAGTTCTGGTTGTGTTGGCTGTTGTCATTTTTTTATTTGACAGTCTAAAGGAAAAGAGGTCAGTGCCTCTCACTAAATAGTCAGGTATCGCATGTTTTACAAATTCTCGCGGCTCCCTGGTTGAAAATTGCTGGGATAGATCATAGGATGAATAAGGTATTGTGGGCGATGGCGCCAAGGAGCATGCCATAGGGTGGGGCAGGAGCAGAGACAGCGCTGAGAGGGCATGACAGGGCCAGTAAGAGGACCGGAAATGCCTACAGGAGAGGTAACATCTAGAATAAAAGTGATTTGAGGGGTCACCCTAAAAGGATACTCTATACTCAATGACAGGGATAGAGCGGCTTTGTGACAGCATTCAGGAAGAACCAGAAAAGGGAGAACGTAAGTTCAGAGGGTGACCATGGGCAAAATAGGCAGATGGGGAGATACTGTTGAGGAGGTTCTTGAGAGAAGTAGGCTTTTTGGTAAAGGTCAAATCAATGAGTGATGAGTTGACAGAGCTAACTCCCTGGTCACAAGGAGGTTTTAAGAAGAGTTATTTGGAAAAAAGTAGTAACTGGTATGCCGAGTTTTAAATAATAAAGGGAAAGGGAATGGAAATGTAGAATTGACCTATTGGAAAAAGTCTAGTTTATCCAGATCAGCGGGGATGATTTGGTTGAGAAATAAATGAGTGGGGCAAAAATGGACAAGGACTCAACAAGGTCAAGTTCATTACTTCCAGCCGCATGAGGACTAAGACTGTGGCTGTTCTACACGGTATTTGTTGGATGGATTATTTTACGATGAATTTCTAACTTTATTATAAGAATTTTCAGACATAAAATTGGAGTAGTATAAAGAACTCCCATATAAACAGAAGTTTTTAGTACAGTAAGAAGCCATGCCTTTTATAATTCTGGTGCATTTCCCATCCAAGTGTGGGGCCGATAGAGAGGGTCCCAAGTCTCTTATTGGCTCTGAAGCAAAGGAGTAGCAATACTACTACTATTAATAATTATAATAATAATTGAAACTGAGAACTCACTATGTGTCAGGCACTGTTACAGGCTGTTTATATGTGTTAATTTATTTAATCTTTACAACATCCCTATTAGATACACACAGATATTATCTTCATATGATTGATAAAGAAACTGGCACTCTATAGAGAGGTTAAAGAATTTGTCCCGTGGCACACTGTCAGTGGCAGAGAATGGATTTGAACCCAGGCAGTCTAGCTGTGGAGTCCATGCCCTCATCCTTTGAACTACACTGTTTTATACACTGTTTGATTTTATAGTCTTGATAGCAGTGGGGAGTATATTGAAGTCCTGTCACACTAAAGGAGATGGTGCCATAGAAATTATTAAATCTCAACTCTTTATATAGCAGTGAAGCCTAGGCAGGTCACACAGTTACAGCCCTGGAACTAGGCTCCAGGCTGCTTCTTTCAGAAAAGGTTGTAGTTGTCAGAGATAGTACATAGAAATTTTCCCAGCCCATGTGACGTGTTCCATAAATTTGGCATTGCTCTTACTCCATCAAGAAGCAAGAGACCTGAGACCATAAATTCTATAACATAAACCACATACACTTCATTTTCTGCCAAATGTTATTATTTTGCTGAGGACTAGAAGTTTCCCACCCAGGATCAGATTGGATGGCATCTAACTGAGGGAGTACCTAAAGCAGTTAAACTGCCAGTTTTGGCCCAAGTCATCTAGCACATCTTGTAGAGTGCAGACAGATGCTTTTTTGAGAGATGGTAGCAACTTTTTAGCATAGCGTCCCAGGAGATGAATACTTATTTGGGAAGGAGGCTCAATAATTGTGATCCCAAATTTTGGGTCTGTATATTGTCTCTTTGTAATAGACGCTTTTGGGAGCAGCTTAATCCATGTGTACTGATAATTCCGATGTTCCCTTTTCTGGTAGGACTTTAGTCTCAACAGAGATTTCTATGAAACTTGACATGGCCATTCCTCAAATCACCTATTCTCCTTGGATTCTGTTGGGTATATTGTTATCAAAGGAATTAATACAATTTTCTATCTCCTAAAACTTTTTTCATACAAGCAGACATAAAAGCATACCCTCTTGAAAAAAAAAAGTTGCTTTGGTTCCTCCCAAATCTGAGCGTATAAATTTCTGGCTGTCTTGTCTCTAAAGTAGCATTCTAGTGCTGATAAAAGGTTCTGGATTGAGAAAATATTGATAATCTTAATATATATTGACCCTAAAAGAAGGAGTGAATTCAGGGCCTTGTAGAGTAGGGAGCACATATAGTTTATAAGTTAAGGTCAAAACTCAGTGATAAGATACGAACATCAGTGTATATTGCATTTTTTTCTTGGCAGTACCTTGGGCGGTTCAAGTGAGTAATGACGACTGAAGTCTTATTTTGGAAACAAGTTTAATAACAGTGAAAGTTTACCCTCAAACCCTAGCCTCCGTGTGAAGTGTTGTGACCTTGGTAGGCATCTCTTAGGATGAGAAGTGCAGTCTTCTCCTTTGGTTCCTCTCCTTGGCCTTTCTGCTGAGTGCATCTTCCGTAGGGCCCATTAGTTTACTTGATTGGTAACAGCAAAAAATGACTTCTCTTAACATGCCCACTGCTTGTTATTGGAATGACCCAGAGTTCATTTTAATTATGTAATGTCAACATGATGATAATAATACTTGCTTTTAAAAATCCACATTTTTATATAACTGTTTCTACTTAGATGAATTACTTCCAGAAGGCAAATAAAGGGGGAAAGTGACTCCATTCTCCTCTTTGCTTGTGCTAATTAGCACCAATTTGCATTGGGGAGGGAAACTATCTTGGGGCTGTGGCTCTAAGAAGATGAAAGCCATGTTATTACATTTTGTAATTAGCAATAAAGCAAGTGGCTCTTTGTGGTATTCCTAGGGTGGTCGGTAGATTAGAAGTCTTTAGGGGGAATGATGCAGGCTCTGTTTGTCTGAAATATGTCATAGGGCACCTGTCAAGCTGCAATGGCTGTAAGAAAGAGTTGGAGAATAAACTAAACACGTTTTCTTTTGCAGTTGCAGCTGTGATCCTTGGCTATCTGTTGGCATTGAAGGGACCTGATGTTTTACGTTATTGGTATGTTATGGAAAGAGCTCTATTATCTTTCTTGGGGATGCTTACATCCTTTTTGCCTCCCTGTCTATCCTCTTTACCCTTGAAAATAGACTTGGACATAATCCCAGTTGTGCCGGAAAGTACCTTCACAGAGTTGGCAGTGGAATTCATTCATTTGGGAAATATTTATTGAGTAATTATAGTCAGTGCCAGACACTGTTTCCTGCCGAGTTGAAGTTGGATAAGGCAGAAATCTGCCAAGAAGTTCATACCATGAACAATGAGATAGCTGGTCAAGGGGAAGAAAAGTTATAATAGATGAATATACAGGAGTTGAGGGAGCCCAGAAGAGGGAACCCCAAGCTCTAGTGGGGGTTGGGGAGAGCTTTTGCCAAGTGGACAAGGGAAGGGGAAGCTGCCAAATGGCAGGAATAAAATGCACATTCTCTTTATTCTGAGAGAGCCCAGCACCTGCAGGAAGGTGGGGGGCAGGCATGATATGTGGTTTGTGGTATAGACCAAGTGTTGACAAATTTTTTTTAATAAAGGGCTTAAGAGTAAATATTTTCAGCTTCCCAGCCTATACAGTGTCTGCTGCAACTACCAAACTCTTGTTAGTTTAGGGCAAAAGTGGCCCTAGACGATATGTAAATGAATGGTTGGAGCTTCTTTCCAATAAAGCTATTTTAAAAGATAGGCACTGGATGGGATTTGGCCCGAGGACAGATGTATCTGAGTTCTGGTATATAAACTCCTCTCTTTACCCACAGAGGTACACCCAGTGCAGTGTTTCTTTGGAAGTTTTACTATATCTTCCTGACTTCCTTTAATTTTTGAGAAATGACTAGCCCGTTCCATAATGAGAAGCTATAATGTGTAACTGGCAGGTATCTGTGTGTTCTTTCTTTCACACAGGTGGAATCACAGTGTCTGTGGTTGCATTCTTCTTCACAATTAAGTTCCTCTTTGAGCTAGCCGCACGTGTAGTCAGCTTCCTCCAGAATGAGGACCGTGAGCGCCGAGGGGACCGGACTATTTATGACTACGTGCGGGGAAATTACCTGGATCCCCGGTCTTGCAAAGTCTCCTGGGATTGGAAGGACCCCTATGAGGTGGGCCACAGCATGGCCTTCCGAGTGCATGTAAGGGAATGTTTCTGTCTCCATACACATTGGGGTTTCCGAGCGACTTGCTTTCCAGAGCCCAGTCCAGTCTGTTGGTGGCGCTAGCCTGGAATGTTAAAATTTTTCTTTGTTTTTCAGTCTCTCCCAGTAACTTGGGAATTGTTAATATCTGAAGAGTCACGAATTTCTCTGTCATTTTGGTTTAATGGGTGCTTAGCTTTGAAGAAGTGTAAAGCTTAATGTGATTTCTTCAAAATAAGAAAAACATTTTTCAAGAGTGGATAGTGTTATGGATGTAGAGGTCGGCAAACTTGGGCCCAAGCGCTAAATCAGTCTCCTATTTCCGTACATACAGTTCTGTTGGAACACAGGCACACGCATCATCATCCTCCTGTATTGCCTATGGCTGCTTTCATGCTTGAGCAGTTAACCACAATTGAATTGCGGTGTATATCCATAAAGCCAAAAATACTTACTCCCTGGCCCTAGAAAAAGTTTGCCGCCCCCCTGTGATGATTTTACTACAGCATTATGCTTGGCTTGATAACCTGAACGCCCCAAGCCTTGTCTGGGGCTTTAGTTCACTGCTGCCAGCAGTGCCCACGGACTTACCTTTATATTTGGATTAGTAGTGATAACATAACAAAAAGAGGAGGCAGCATTTGTGGTTCAGAAAAGCCAAGTTGAAATTGATTTAATGGTATATCTTACCCCTGTCCTCGAAAATAGGGTAAGAATTTGTTCATGATTTAATGGTTTTCTTTGAATTGTTGAGAGAATTCGTTTCTCCCTGTGTCTGCAGGCCTGTAGGAGGGGGTGGGTACTGGGTTTTACCAGCTTCCTCCTTTCTCCTCACACTCTTCTGAGTTAGATGGCTGATGATGTGCCCCCCCTCTTCACTCATGGGTGCTTCTCCTCTTCCCACTGCAGTTATTCTATAAGAACGGCCAGCCTTTCCCTGCACATCGGCCTGTGGGACTAAGAGTTCACATCTCTCATGTGGAGCTAGCAGTGGAAATTCCAGTGACCCAGGAAGTCCTCCAGGAGCCCAGTTCCAACGTGGTCAAGGTGGCCTTCACTGTACGCAAGGCTGGGCGTTATGAAATCTCCGTGAAACTTGGTGGATTAAATGTGGCCTATAGTCCCTACTACAAGATTTTTCAGCCTGGTATGTTCTTTTTTCTTTTTCTTCTTTCTACCCCTCCCTCCTTTTTTTCCTTTATCTTTGTAATAACACCTTTTTAAAAATAGCAACTTTATCGAGATTTCATTCACATGCCATACATTTCTCCATTTAAAATATACAATTATGGGTCTTTTTCCGCCCTGGCTGGTGTGGCTCAGTGGACTGAGCGCTGGCCTGCTAACTGAAGGGTCGCCAGTTGGGGGTGTGCAAGAGGCAACAGATTGATGTTTCTCTCACACATCAGTGTTTCTCTCCCTCTCTTTCTCTCTCCTTTCCCCTCTCTCTAAAAGCAAATAAATAAAATCTGAAATAAAATATACGATTAATGGTTTTTAAATTCATAGAGTTGTATAACCGTCACCGCATCAATTTTAGAGCATTTTCATCACCCCGCGGTCCTGTACCTGTTAGCAGTCACTTCCCCTTTTCCCCAGACCCCTCAGCCCCAGGCCACCAGGAATCTACTGCCTCTGGATTTGCTTACTGTGGCTACTGCTCTACTGTTTACATTTCTTATCAGTGTAATCATAACATATGTGGACTTTTGTGACTGGCGTATTTCCCTTAGCAAATATTTCTGAGGTTCATCCATGCTGTAGCATGAATCAGTACTTAATTTCTTTATTTCCAAATAATATTCCATTGTGTGGATATGCCACAGTTTATCTATTCTTCAGTTGACAGACAATTTGGAGGTCTTTGCTTTTGGCTACTCTGCTTAATTCCACTGTGAACATTTGTATGTTTTTGTGTGGACACACATTTTCATGTCTTTAAGAGTAGAATTGCTGGGTCATCAGCCTGTTAAATTCTTAAGGATTAAGTATGTCAGAATAGCAAAAGGGAGATTTTTCTGATTTTTTAAACTTTTTCAAGTAAAACCACCTTGACCCTAATCCCACCCTTGCTGCCAGTGTGCGTTTTACTTCTCTCTGAAGAGCATCTGCTCAAGCTTCTGGTGTCTAAGAATTGAGGCCTCTATCTCTACTGTCTTCCCCTTAGTGTCCTTATGCCAGATAGCAAATGCTCAGTGACTTTGAAGCCTAAAAGCATGACCCTTGGCTCCTGCTTCTGAAGTGTATCTGTTGAGCACGTTGGGGTTTTGTCTGCCCTTGTTTCCTGCCTTGGCACCTGCTGAGGGTGTCATTTTGGTGTCTGTAGAAACGGTAGGAACTTGGGAACCTTTGGGGTCAAACCACGAGAGGTGTCTTAAGGAGACTTGTGTATCTTTGCTTGATTAGTCCTCAGTGTTCTTTCTCTTAGAACAGAGGAAGGCTCTGAACAAGGTGGCTCCCGGGCCGGCTCCCTGTCCATGTGTCTCATCCTTTGTTTCGGTGCCTCACTCGTAGACTCCTTTCTACACGGTTATCATTGCCCCGACTGCTTGTCCCTAGTGAAGAGCAGTTCATGTCCTTATACTGTGTACCAGCCCTTTCATTTATTTTATTAGAGGTGATTATGTTTATTACTGTATTTTTTCTGGTACCATTTATCCCCTTTACACCCTTCTTCCCCGCCGCAGTCACCACACTGTTGTCCATGAGTCCTTTTTCTTTTTTGCTCCATCCCTCCACCCCCTACCTGCCGCTCCCCTGCCCCCGCTTAGCTGTCGTCCACTCTCTATTTATGAGTCTGTCTCTGTTTTGCTTGTTAGTTCAGTTTGTTCATGAGATTCCACGTATGAGTGAAATCATATGCTACTTGTCTTTCTCTGACTGGCTTATTTCACTTAGCATAATGTTCTCCAGGTCCATCCATGCTGTTGCAAAGGGTAAAATTTTCTTCTTTTTTATTTTTTTAAATTAAAATTAAACTCTTTATTTTGAGATAATTATAGATTCTTATGCAGTTGTAAGAAATACTACAGAGAGGTCTGGTGTACCCTTGACCCAGTTTTCCTCAATTATATCATCTTACAAATATAGTACAATATCACCGCCAGGTTATTAACATTAATACAGTCAAGAGATGGAACATTTCCATCATCACAAGGATCCTTCATGTTGCCTTTACATAGCCACACCCATTTCTCCTCTCCCACCCACCTATTTCTTAACCCCTGGCAGTCACTAATCTGTTCTTCATTTTTATAAATGTTGTCATTTCAAGAATGTTATATAAATGGAATCATACAGTATATAACCTTTTTGTTACATAAGTTTTTTTACTCGGCAGAATTCCCTGGAGATTCATTCAGGTTGTTGAGTATATCGATAGTTGGTTCCCTTTTATTCCATGTTGTGAATGTACAATAGCTTGTTTAACCATTCTCTAGTTGAAGGACATTTAGGTCTTCTCCAGGTTTTGGCTCTTATGAATAAACCTATGAACATTCATGTACAAGTTTTTATGTGATTATAAGTTTTCATTTCTTTGATATCAATGCCTAGGAATGCAATTGCTGCATCATATGATAGTTGAATGTTTAGTATTTTTAAGAAACGGCTAAGCTCTCTTCAGAGTGTCTGTAGCATTTTACATTCCTATCAGCAATGGATGAATAATCCAGTGTCTTCACATGCTCAGCAACATGTGATATTGTCACTAGTTTTCATTTTAGCCATTCTGCTAAGGGTAGTGGTTTTAATTTGCACTTCCCTAATGGTCAGTGATGTTGAACATCTTTTCATGTGCTGTGTCTTTGCCCATTTTCTAATTAAATTTTTTGATTTTTTTTACTGTTGAGTTTTGGGAGTTCTTTATATCTTCTACATACTAATCCTTTGTTAGATAATGTGGTTTGCAAGTATTTTCTCTTAATCTTTAGCTTTTCTTTTTATCCCCACAACAGGGTCTTTTACAATGCAGAAGTTTTTCATTTTGATGAAGTCAGTTTTATCAATATTTCCTTTTACAGATCATGCTTTCAGTGTCTGAGAGCTCTTTAACTAGTCCTAGATCCTGAAGATTTTCTCTTATTTTTTTCTAAAAGTTACATAGTTTTATATTTCTTAATTAAGGTTATGATCTCTTTTTAGTTTATTCTATATAAGACTTGGGTCAAGGTTTTTTTTTAAGTTTTATTTTATTGCATATAGCTGTTCAGTTGCTCCAGCACCATTTGTTGTGTTGAAAGGCTGTCTTTGTTCTGTTACATTGCTTATACACCTTTGTCAAGGATGAGTTGGGCATGTTTATGGGGACTGTTTCTGCATTCTCTGTTCTGTTCCATTGATCCATGTGTCTATCCCTCCACCAGCACTGCAGTCTTGGTACTATAGCTATATAATTAGTCTTGAAATTGGATGAACTGGCTCTTGCCACTTTACTCTTCTGTTCCAGAATTATTTTAGCTATTCTTGGTCCTTCGCCTTTCTATATACATTTTAGAATAATATTGTCTAAAGCTACAAAAAGTCTTGCTGAGATTTTGATAAGAATTGTGTTAAACCTTTATATCATTTGGGGAGAGATGACATCTTTACTATGTTAAGTGTTCCAATTCATAAACATGAACCATCTCCCCATTTTTTTAGACCTTTTTTATTTCTCTCATCAGTATCTTACTGTTTTCAATATACAAGTCTTGTATATGTTTTGTTAGATTTGTATCTAAGTGTTTAGGGGCTCGTTTGTTTGTTTTGAGATTGCTCAGCACTTAGTCTTAAGGCCCATCTGACACATAGATTTTGAGTGAGACTCTAGGCATTGTGTCTGTAACTCTCAGTTCTGTTTTCTCCAAGTTCTTTTCTCATTTTCAGTGCTTGCAGTGGTTAGGAATTTGTAAAAATGAGTCCCCAGAGTTTATCTGAATTAATCTCTTTGTTTTCCTTCTTTTTCTCTGCCTCTTAATGGTGTTGTTTGTCCCTAGGAATTGGGCAGGGACCTGGCCTGTAGGATTCCCTGACTGAGAGGTCCCTGTGCACTGAAAAGCACCTCTCTAGATGTCATATTCCACTGTCTTATTCCAGGAATGGTGGTTCCTTCCAAGACCAAAATTGTGTGCCATTTTTCTACTCTTGTGTTGACCTGCGGGGAGCCACACACTCTTCAAATAGTGCCCCGAGATGAGTATGACAACCCAACCAACAATTCTATGTCCTTGAGAGACGAGCACAATTACAGCTTGTCCATTTATGAGGTGAGCAGCCTGCCTCCTTTCTCTGTCATCACACCTCTTCTAATTCACTTCCATCTCTCTCCTTCCCCCTGACGTCCATGCTGTCCTCTCTTCATCGGGTGATACCTACCTCATTAGTAATGATGGGACTTAGGTTAGCTCATAGGTGCAAAAGTTCTTTGTGAAGAGTAAGTTAATGTGCAAATAGAGAGAATTATATATGTTTAGTGATTCTTTATTTTCCTCCTATAGCTCGGTCCCCAAGAGGAAGAGCATACTGGTGTCTCATTTGAGAAATCAGTGACATCCAACACGCAAACCTGCCAGGTGTTCTTGCGACTCACCCTGCATTCTCGTGGCTGCTTCCATGCCTGCATTTCATATCAAAATCAGCCAATCAATAACGGTGAATTTGACATTATTGTCTTAAGCGGTGAGTTGGAAGAAAAGCTGTGATTTGTTCTTTGCATGCCTGCACTCTTCTGACTAACCTCAGAAACACTTGCTCTTGGAGTCAAACTTAGCTTAGAGACCTGTGGACCGAAGGTCTAGAGGTAGGTAATTTTTTTCTTCTTCTCCGACTCCTACTCTAAACTTTATTCCTTATTCTGTTTCAGAGAATGAGAAGAATATTGTTGAACGCAATGTGTCCACCTCAGGAGTGAGCATTTACTTCGAGGCTTATCTTTATAATTCTACCAACTGTACCAGCACACCGTGGCACCTGCCACCCATGCACATGAGCTCTTCCCAGCGCCGGCCTTCCACGGCTGTTGAGGAGGAAGATGAAGATTCACCTTCTGAATGTCATACCCCTGAGAAGGTGAAGAAACCGAAGAAGGTGTACTGCTATGTATCACCAAAGGTTAGAACTCCCATTCTTGCCTCAAAATCCCCCTGCTGGAGCCTGCATGTAATTGGTATTTGGTAACAAACCACAAAGTAGACTGAGAACCAGGGCCAAGGTGGTTGACTTGTAGGGTTTCTAGGATACTAAGGCAGGCTACTTACAGTTGAGCAGCAGATTGTGCTACCTCTCCTGCTGCAAACATTTGGTTTGGACTAGATGGAGTCTCTGCCTAGAGATTCAGGGTTGCCTTGGAGCTTTGGAGGACCTGTGGCCTTCTGCCCTTTGGGTGCTTCTGGGAAGATTTTTCAAGACATGGCTCCTAGAGTTTTAAAAAAAGCAACTTTAACCATTAAACATTTCTCATAGTATAAAAATTACTGTTGTCCCCTTGTACTGTTTCAAAACAATCTGGTCTTTCATTCCGTTATTTGTGAAACCACAATAAATGGATGTCACCATCAGGCTACGGAGTCGGAAGAAGAAATTTTGGCGCAGACAAGGAGGTGAACTTCCCAAGGCCCCTGAGCTAAGAGGCGCTTTGTGCTCGGGACTTTCTCCTTGATATTTGTGTTTTGCTTATTTGTTTAAACTGCAGAAAAATAGACCCTTGAAAATCCCATTACATCCCTTTAATCTCATAATGAAAACTGAGTTCCAATTCTATTCTTCTTCAGAACACTTCGCTATGTGCCATTCATCATTTAAAAATCTAGCCTTAATTTGGCCTGGGGAAATGGTAATGAGGGACTGGTGGGTACAGATGAAACAAATTCGGTTATGAATTGGTAATTGTTGAAGCTGGTGATGGGTTCATTGTACTCTTTTCTTCAGTATGTGTGTGAAATTTTCTTTAATGAAGAGTTTTTAAAAATCAAGAAAACGGACCTACTACACATTCAGATAACGGGTTTTTTTAGATTAAAAAATTATGGCATTGTTTTTTCCTTTTTGTAAATGGCATAAAGAGATCCTTCTTTCCTCTTATAGAAGAGATTTTTATGAACTTCTTTGTATGAGACTTCACCCCACTCCCATTACCCTTCTATCCCCCACTCCCTCTTCCCCAGCAAATCCTTGGTGCCATTCAAACAGGGACAAACTGGGTATGGGCCACTGGTGTCCCCTGTCCCTCGACCTGGAGAAAGTCTCTCTGAGCAGCACTGAGCTGAGCAGAAGTAGATTTTGATTGTTTCTAGGTGAAGTGTTCTCTACTCATAAAGTGAAAACCTGAGCTCACGTGTTTACAAATGGCAGTAAGACCAAGTGTTAAGATCATGAAACGTCTCTGTGTGAAACTGCACTCTCAGAGTCACAGTTTTAATTTGCCTATTTGGATGGGGTGATGTTATTGATTTGATTTCAGTACCGACTTAAATTAGCCTTTTTGTCGATAGAGGAAAAAGGTTATCATGAGAAGTGTAGATGGGGACTCGGGTGTTTGAGCGACGAAACCCTAATAGAGCCTTTTTATTTATCTTTCACTTCATTTTCTGCATGTCGCTCCTTCAGCAATTCTCCGTGAAGGAGTTCTACCTGAAGATCATTCCTTGGCGCCTGTACACCTTCCGAGTGTGCCCAGGAACCAAAGTAAGTGGAATCTTACATCTGCTTCATGCTAAGCAGACTTCGGCTCTGGAATAGGTCAGCCTTTTTGTTGTTATCTCCTCATGAAATGGTGTGAAGAATATGGATATCCTAGAAAGACACGTGCTTACAGAGTGAGGAATTTAGAAGCAAGTCAGGATATTTCAACAGTTATCTTTACCAGTAGGACTAGGTTAATGGAGAGGGTGTTGGTAATTTTGCCCCCAGCTTGGTGTTCAGCGTGCTGAAGCTCTTTTAGAGTCAGTATTCTAGTATGTTAGAAAAAAATTTTGGTAACTTTCCTGAGCTTTTAGAATCTAAAGACAAATAACTCTCCTCTATCCAGTTTGCCCTCTCTCTTTAGGTAGGTGCCCTCTCATTTGCTATTTTATATACCCTTACTACTTTTACCCTTTTTACATTCTTTGCTGGAAGGGCTGTAGTGTTGCCTGTGATTCTTAGTAAAGGTAGTCTCTGTGACTCAAATGATTTAAAATAAACTTTGTATTGTAGAGCACTGAGGTGAAAAGCAGGGAGATATGCTCCTGGTCGGGACTCATTTGGAGAAAACAGGCTTTTCGGTGATTGGCACAGCGGGTGGGGATGTGGCTGGTTCTTGCTGGATTTGAGGGTTTTATAGATTAACTCTTTCTCTCCCCTGTGCTAGTTTTCATACCTTGGCCCTGACCCCGTCCACAAGCTCCTTACACTGGTGGTGGATGATGGCATTCAGCCTCCTGTGGAGCTCAGCTGTAAGGAGAGGAACATCCTCGCGGCCACTTTCATCCGCTCCCTCCATAAGAACATCGGTAAAGTTGGGCAGGGGCTTTGATGGGGAAGGCACTGACCCCAGCTTCTGTGGGTGCCCGAGGGCACAGGGGTGGCCTGCACAGATGCCTTGGAATAAGGCTGCAATCATGATGAATCTTGCTCCTCAGGAGGCTCTGAGACCTTTCAGGACAAGGTGAACTTTTTCCAGCGAGAGCTTCGACAGGTACATATGAAAAGACCACATTCCAAAGTCACCCTGAAGGTCAGCAGACATGCCTTGTTGGAATCGGTGAGTGGAGTTTCATCCTTGTCAATAGTTTCAGAGTTTTCCAACTAGAAACTTCTTTTGGTATTTGGTTATGTTCTCCAGGTTATCTTTTTCTTTTTTCTTTTTTTTTTAAAGATTTTATTTAATTATTTTTAGACAGAGGGGAAGGGGGGGAGAGAGGGAGAGAAATATCAATGTGTGGTTGCCTCTTGCATGCCCCCTACTGGGGACCTGGCCTGCAACCCAGGCATGTGCCCTGACTGGGAATCGAACCGGCAGCCCTTTGGTTTGCAGGCTGGCGCACAACCCACTGAGCCACGCCAGCCAAGACGTAGGTGATCTTTTTCATGAAACCCAGATTTCTCTCCTTTTTACGTGTATCTATTAAAGGCTATTCTTCTGTTTGATTATATTAAGTTTGGGGCAGATTTATTGGAGGTATGTTATTGAGGAGAGAGACAGGTTGACACATTGGCTTTAGAATCTGTACTGAACTAGTTCCTGAATAAAGTCATGGAACTCCTATGTAGGGCAGGTGTAAGTAGTCGTCACAGGAGAAAGTTCTTGTTATTGAATCCCTGGACTAGAGAGCTCTTGTTGGATTAAAAGGCAATGATTTTTGTTGTCATTCTGGTCTGATGGAAAAGGAACACCTGATGTGTGTCTGTCTCCACTGCACAGACACTGGCATAGTTCTTACATTCCCCAAGAATGAGCAGGCTTGGTCCCAGTCCCAAATGTGTTTGTGATGTTTGGCTCTGGTCGGTGTGACTGGAAACCCCTTTTCTCAGCCACATTCTCCATGTGGTATGGCTCCCTGTCTGAACCTAGTCTTTGGATAAAGACGTCTAGCAAATAGACTGTACTTAACTGAAAACCAGGACTCCTTGGTTCTCTTGCTGACAGCTTACTAACCTGAGCCATTTTTAGTTCTTTAAGTGTTTTCTCATTAATAAAATGAAAGTTATAAAAAGAAAAACAAGCTTCAAGTTTTCAACAAGGCAATGGTGTAAAGATGAATTAGATTATTTTTTTAAAACTTTAAATTTGTTTTGGCGCTACATGCATTTAAAATATAAAATGGTGTTATTAAAGCTTATTTATGAGTAATAACAGATCACGTCCAAGAACTAGTGGACAATAGATAGCATTTTCTTGTGTTTTTGTCGTTAACACCCAAGAGATACCAGCCAGTGTCCTGATACTTTCCTTCCTTTCACTGCTTTTTAGTCTCTGAAAGCTACTCGGAATTTTTCCATCTCAGATTGGAGCAAGAACTTTGAAGTGGTTTTCCAGGATGAAGAAGGTCAGCTTTGAAACGTCATATTCATCTTTTTAAACTCTCTTCTTCACTCCTATTCTCCTTCTTACTCCCTCTCCACAAAAAACCAAACCCCTTAAACACTCCCCAGCTTCTTTTTCCAAGGAAAAAAAGTCATGAGTCAAGATTAAAAGGGTGGCATTTACTGGCCAGATGACTTGGTAGAGCTCATAGAGCACAGACATACGGAGACAGAGAATTCTGTAAGTTGGAACCAGGAGGGCAAACTTTTCACCCTTGTAGAACAAAGAGAAATGTCCATTTCCTGGGATCTCTGATGTCCCATGTTTACACACTAAGGGGTATTAGCTTAGTGACCTTTAATCCTATAGAAAGGGGTGGGATTTTTGAAAAGTTCACATTTTAGGTGGGTTGGAAGGGGAAACAGTAAGGTAGTGGAATGGAGGGAGTGTGGAGAATATAAAATAATGACAGTGAACAAACAAGATAAGAGGTAGGAGGTCAGAGTCACGTTTTCTTTTTATTGTACTTTTCAGCTCTGGACTGGGGAGGGCCTCGCCGGGAATGGTTTGAGCTAATCTGCAAAGCACTGTTTGATACCACCAGTCAGCTCTTCACTCGATTCAGCGACAACAACCAAGCACTCGTGAGTCTGTGACTTCCCCGTGGGTGGGTGGACAATGTAAAGTACGTTATGATGGAATGGACTAACAGGGGTTTGAGGTTATGAACGTGTCCTGGGAATGTGACAACCTGTGTCTTGTTCTTAATTTTGATACCTACAGTATGAGCTAATCAGATTGCCTCCCTCCTCTTTGCCTTCATTATTTCATCTCTTAAAATAAGAGAAAACGCAGACAGATGACTATTTGACCAAAAAGGCATTATAATGCAATGGCTGTTCTACTAATTATAATAATAATAATTAAGCCACTTTCTCAAAATAGACCTGAAGCTCTTGGATTCTGTACTAGACCTCTGACTAGGCAGAGGTGTCAGGAGCAGAGAAATAAGACTCCGGCTGAAAGAAGGTCTGGTTTAGGGAAAAAGCATCACATCATCCACTGATTAACTTTCATACCCAGTCAGATGAAGCCACGAACCTAACGTAAGGCTCTTCAGCCTAACGTGAGTCCGTCACTGCTCTGCATCCTCCAGTCACTCCGGACTACTCAGTAGCGGCTACCAAAGACCGGTGCCGTTTGGATGGGCTCTTTGGTCTAATATTGAAATTCTTGCTCCCGTGGGACGGAGGTGGGAGGGAGGGTCTTTCCAGAACGAGGCTGGAAGAAAAATGGCCCAGAGTCTTTTAATGTCTTTCTCTGACAGGTGCACCCCAACCCTAACCGCCCCGCTCATCTGCGCTTGAAGATATATGAGTTTGCGGGGCGGCTCGTGGGCAAGTGTCTCTATGAGTCCTCTCTAGGAGGAGCCTACAAGCAGTTGGTCCGTGCTCGCTTCACCCGTTCTTTTTTGGCCCAAATCATAGGACTACGTATGCATTACAAGGTAACGTCTGAGGCGTGTTTTTTCTGCTAAGGTGCCTGGCCATTGACACTGGAGTCTCACCACTCTGAGCTAGTTACTCTTACTGTTGAGGGGGTGAGTGGTTCCAAGCAGTTATAAATTTCATCTCTGGATAGAATAGTCATGCTCTATTCTGTGTCTTTCTGTCTCCTCAGTACTTTGAAACAGATGACCCAGAATTCTACAAATCTAAAGTTTGTTTCATCCTTAACAATGACATGAGTGAAATGGAGCTGGTCTTTGCAGAAGAGAAATATAACAAATCAGGTCAATTGGAAAAGGTAAGAAGGAGGACCAGAGCCTGTGGGTCCCATGACTCCCACCCTCTTCCAGAGAGGCACTGTCTCACAGAACTTGCTGCAGTAATGGAGATGTTCTCTATCTGTGCTGTCTTGAGCACCCAAAATGTGGCTAGTGCGACCAAATAACTGAATTTCTCATTTTATTTTCATTAACTTAAATGTAAATAACCACTTATGACTAGCGGCAGTCATATTGGGCAGCATAGCTTTAGGGCGTCGCATCCCACACTTAAGCTCTTGGCCCACTTGAGAGAAGCAAAAGACACGTAAGCCCATCTAGCCCACCTGCTCTACAGTACTTTGTGGTAGAAAAAGAACTTAGTGATAATGAAGTGTCACTGCACAAGGTGCTTTGGAAGGGGATGGCAGTGCCTACCCCAGCTGTGATGGGGGTGACATAGATGACTTTTATTTAAATACTATACCTGTATAATTTTAAACCTTTTATTACAAAACTGTTGACCAAAAGTATTTCTGATGCAGATGTGGTGCTGTTTACATTGTAAAGTTAAACAATATCAAATGACAATTATGAAGCTAAAATCACAATAAAATTAAAAGCAAAATAGCAATGACTGAAATACTGGGACCACTGATCGATACCCTTGTATTCATTACCACATACCCTTTGTGACCATTGTGGGACAGTAAGGGAAGAATGCAAGGGACCCCTTTTTAGAATTTGAGACGGAAAAAGATTTCTTCATTGCTTATGTGGCTATATTTATTCTCAGTTGGCTCAGGGGTAAGAAAAGAGGTCAGTAATAGTTTAATTTTGGATCATATAGACATTAAAATATTGCTAACAAGGAACCATAACATCTTCCTATTGTATCACTGCTATTTGACCAGGTCAGAGAAGGCTCACTCAGCCACTTCAGAGATAGTAGCTAGTAGAATGCAGCAGTGATGGTTAGGAACCCTGGCGCTTAAAAACTGTATAACCTAAGTGTGCTGTGAAGCTGGACGCACAGCAGAAACTTGCGACTGTGGCGGACTTCAATAATGCCATGTCTGTGGGACAGACCAGGCAGATACCATCTTATAAACTGTCATCCACAGCCTTTCCCTGTCTGTCTTTTGCCTTTTATTTTAGGTTGTAGAACTCATGACGGGTGGAGCTCAAACCCCCGTCACCAACACAAATAAAATCTTCTATTTAAATTTGCTGGCCCAGTATCGGCTGGCCAGTCAAGTGAAAGAGGAGGTAGAACATTTCCTAAAAGGTGAGCTTCTCTCTCCTCTTAGATTTGAGATGAAAATACCTGTATTCATGTTGTGAGAATGGTTTTAATTTGGGCTACTTTGTTTCAGGCCTGAATGAGTTGGTCCCTGAGAACCTTTTAGCTATTTTTGATGAAAATGAGCTTGAGGTAAGTGCTTACAAACACAGACCCCATTCTTGACTCAGTGCGTTAGCACGCCCACAGGAGCTAGCTTTTTGTATCTTCTGTTATGAGATGTGATGGGAAAGCCCTTTATGCAAGAATTGGTTTCATTTTTACCACTCTTCCCATGTATTGACGTATTCTTCAGCTTTTAAAAAGTTAGAATGTAAAAATTGGAAACCAGCAAATAGTTATTTTTGAAGAGTAATAATTAGTATTCACTTATCAAATATTATTGATAGTGGTTGAATGAGTACTAAAGAATGTTGGTATCATATAGTCTTTGACATTTAAAGATGACTTAAGGGGATACTAGAATTTATTTGTTCAGGGACTGTTTATTGAGTGCCTTCTAGACGCCATGTTCATTTGAAGCACTGGGGAGATAGTGATGAATAAGACAAAGTCCCTGCCCTCATGGAGCTATGTTCCAGTGAAGGAGACAAACCAAAGGATGTGACATATTTCAAAGTTTGGGGTCACAACACTATACAGTTAATATAGTCTTATTTCAGATCCTGTAACAATAAAAAAAAGGCCTCAAGATGGTAAATGCCATTTTGTAAGTAGCAAAATTGAAGTTCATATCAGGTGTGGGCAAAAAATAGAATCATTTTTTTTTACCTGCTGCTCACAGATGATTCATATAATGCAAATATTAATTTCAACTTCCCATATCCCTTATGAGAAGTAGGTTTTTGCAAACTGTAGGGAGAAAATTCTTCTTTAGAAATGAGAAAACAAAATAGTTTTAGGGGGTCTTGTACAATTTTTATTCTTATTAACTGAACTATCTTCAGTTATAGAAATAACTGAATGAGAGTAAGAATCAAAGTCTTGCGCAATTTTTGTCACATTTTGTACCTTTAGATATGAAATCTAAACAAAATGAATTCTTCATCTCTCCTCTTAAAGTTTCTGATAGAAACCTTGTGCTATTATTTTGGGGGCTGAGGAATAGCTACTGGTATATTTTGTTTTGTTTATCATGAAGGAAAGCATTTATAACAGTTTGTAAAAGTGAGTAGGAAGGAAGGACACAGTCTCTTACATTTGTTCCACATACTGCTCTTAGTTACTCATTAGCTTAACAAGTTCTTTTTGAAGGAGCCAAGGCTCTTGAGGCTTAATTTGAGTTTTTCTTATCTCTTGATGGATGTATTACTCTTTTTTAGCTATGGGATAAGTAGTACAGTTTGCTAGGTAACATGGAGGATCCTGAACCAGATTAGGACATGAACAAGATGTTTAGGGCTCTGATCTTGTTAATGTTCTCGGTGGTGGTAGTGGTGGTGGCAGCAGCGGGGGGGAGGGGGGGGGCGGGGCGGGGGGGGGGTGTTTGCATGCTTTTTATTTTATCTGATTAAGTAGAGGCAGGGCTGAGGGAAGGGAAGTAGTAAAAGTTCAGTTCACAAAAGGATGGATCCTGGGGAAAAGGAAAGGCCATTTGACAAACTAATCAGTGGGGCAGAGGGCCTTCATCAAAGGGCCCTTCTCCCTGGTATTTCCAGGTTACATCCAGAGCAGACTCAGTAAACTTAGTTCCCTTTTTGTCCTTCGTTTCCATTCAAAATAATCCACAGCAGCAGTTCTTAATTAGGTGTGTGCATCAGAAACCCCTGGGGAACTTTTTCAAAACACATGAGTTCATACGTAGCATACTCCTAGAGATTCTGATTCAGAAAGTCTAGGGTGAGGCCACAGGCATCTCTCTGTATAGTTTTAAAACTGCGTAAGGAACCATTGGCCTATTAGAACTGATTTTCCTAAAGCAGTATTCTGGCATTGTGACCTCACCTTTTTCCTGGTGTTTTCTTTATTCCACATTTTTGCATATTAACATAAGTAATTGACCTTATGCTGGGTCTTTGTCCCTCTGACCATCCTAGTAACTAACCTGTCTTCTCCAGCTGCTGATGTGTGGGACTGGGGACATCAGTGTGTCTGACTTCAAAGCTCACGCAGTAGTCGTTGGTGGCTCATGGCATTTCAGAGAAAAGGTAAGTGGGCCAAATTTTTTTAGTTAGATTTGTGTCATGTTGTAAAGAAAAAGTTTCAGAAGAAAAAAGTTAAGTCAGAGAAGCAAACGTGTCAAATGGGAAAAAATTATATGTGTGGGAAAGACAGGTGGTGGTTTAGGCAAAAGGGAGCCCGGGTCTCTATTCGCTGTCATGCTGGCTACCACAGGAGCAGTGCATTGGAAAGTCAAAGAAATAGAACCAAACAATTGGCCACTACCCTCCTGACTATGTGACAGTACAAAGTCCTGAAGAGCTTGTTGGTTCTAACCACTCCTGCCTGTGTTCTCAGAGAGCGGTGACCGGGGCACACGCCCAGTTTGGGGAGTCCTGTTGCTTCCCCACTCCCACCCCCAGGTCACACTCTGGGCTACATACTGGTGTGATGCCAGCCTTGTGCTCTCCCTGCCAGGTCATGAGGTGGTTTTGGACCGTGGTTTCCAGTTTGACCCAGGAGGAGCTGGCTCGGCTTCTTCAGTTCACGACAGGCTCTTCTCAGCTACCACCCGGAGGCTTCGCCGCCCTCTGTCCCTCATTCCAGATTATTGCTGCGCCAACCCACAGCACGCTCCCAACTGCACACACGTGGTAGGCCTCTGACTGCCCGGTGCGTGCTGCCATGGAAGGGTGTCTAGCCTTTGCCAGTGTTTCTGAGTTAATCACTTCTCCCTTTGCCCTTCCAGTTTTAACCAGCTGTGCCTCCCCACGTATGACTCGTACGAAGAGGTGCACAGGATGCTGCAGCTGGCCATCAGCGAGGGCTGCGAGGGCTTTGGCATGCTCTGACCGCCCTCCTGCATTCCTCTTAGCTCCTGTGCTTTCTGGAGCATCTGGGTGCACGCAACAGACATCATAACCACTGATGCTAACACAACACATAACCATCAGTCAGAAGCTGCTGCATGCTGCCCAGTGTCTGGAGTGTTTGGTCACCTACAAGCCTTGTCCTTCCCTCGCCCCCCTCTCTACCCATCCCCCAACAGGCCACTTTGTCATGGTATGTAACCTGAGCTGCTTGCTCAGTCACAAGAAGAGGACCACGCTGCTGTAATTTCACTTGGTTCCTAGATCTCAGTAGCAGGAGCTGCCTCATTAGCTGAAGGAGAGTACAAAAAAGGGCTCAGCTCTCACGGGAAAGCTGCTGTCCTCGCCTTGCTCCACCTCCTCTGCTATGCTCCTTCGAGGTCCCCGCCGTGGCCCTCATTGCTTGACCTGAGGTCTGTGCATCCTTTGTGGGGGCAGGGTCCTGCCTTTTCTCATCAGGAGCCAGGAGAAGCACAGAAAGGAAGTGGCCCACATGCTCAGTCTTTGGTTTCGTCCCTCTGCACAATGGCAGGCACAGGTGGTGGCACTGGACTACCTCTAATGGGGACTGAGAGCACAAAAGGATGTTTTTTGTGGTGTCCGAACTGGAAATGGAGCTTTCCCTGCAGGCATTTCTGGAAATGATCATTAATCCCTAAAGAAGAACTCTTAAGTTTTTTTTTGAGTTTGAGCCAGTGAGAAAAACAGACCTAAGCATGTGAAAGATAGCTGGGCTGTGGCCTCCACTGCTGAGTGTGATTCTCCTTTAAGGTTCGGGGCACGTCTAGGCAAATGGCTGGCTTGAAGACTATACTGGTGCTGGTCCTGGAGTTCGTTCTTCACACTGAGGTGTAGCTGGGCCTGGCCACCTACCTCCAAGTTATGCAGTCTCCTAAGAACTTTCTACTGAAGACAATTTTGGAGCAATGGACTGGGAGCATAAGAATAGCATCCCAGTGGTCCTTGCTTCTCTCTTTGCTTGGTGTTGTCTGGCAGCACTGAGGCAAAGGGAAAAGGGACCAGCAGTTTAAGTGCTTATCACAGGTCCCTGGGACAGGACACCAGGAACACAGATAGAGGAGATACGTCAGGCAGTCAACACCTAGCTGTCCCAGTTGCTTCCCTTCACTGCTTCAGTTACCAGCAAGGGGAACTAAGGAGAGAGGAAGATACATTAGGTTCACTGTACATGGTGATTCAAGAGAACCTGCTGCTGTCTCTTGGACGATGGCAGCATCCTTTTTCATCATGATTTGAATGAAAACCATGTCAAGACTCAAAATCTCATCCACTTCCCCAAATTTCTTTTTTTAAGAAGGCTTTGCTGCAAGCCACCATTCCCAATGGGGCATTCAACTCTGAGAATATTACAAGCCATCTTTGTCGCCAAAACCAGCAAGTACACAAGAGTCCAGAGAGGAGGCAGGACTTGTGGCAAAGCCTTGGCCTCCTGGAAACGTGTCTGAGCCCTCCTGTTCCCAGGGATCGCGAGGAACAGGCCTCCTGAGCTGCTACTGTTCCTGCTTGACCGTGCTCCCTGGCAGTTGTCATTTGTCCTTCTTGGTGTGGGTGCTGACCTCACTCATTCCTGGGGTCCGGGATCCAGCATCAGGGCCTCTACACCACAGGGTCCTCCATGCCACACGGTCACTGCTCTCCTCAGGGACCAGGACAAGGTGCTGCTGCTCGCCCCAGTGCTTTCCCAGGGGCTGTATATGGGTGGCTTCAGCGTTACCCCGGGAAACACGATGCTGCCCCTCCGGCCCAGAGAGGAGTTTCCAACTGGGGGCGCGTGGGCTGGTTCCGCTGTCTTTGGCAGATATTCCTCTCTTGATTCTACATTCTCCCCTCCAGCAGCCCTCCACAGATGGAGGCTGGAGCTGGATTTGATTTTCTTGGCTAGACCTGTCCTAGCACTTTTCAAAGCATCCCGGGCACCACTGCCGCCCAGCTGCGGCAGCTGCGTCCTGTGGTGGTCCTTAGCCCCGGGGTCTTGGTTTAACAAACCCCTTTGGTACTGTTGTGGTTTTCTATTCCACTGTACTCTCCTAACTCTGTTCAAATGTGCATCTGCTCTTTTTGGCCTTTTACCTCTCCCCCCGCCCCCAGTCCTGCCTTGGTACTCGCCTGTGTGGGCGGAAGGTACAGTATGTCGGAGAGAAGGAATAGTGTCTGTCACTTCTTGGGCAATTTTATATTCACGTTTCTTATTTTGGCTAGTTCTTTTATTTATGCCCTTGTGGCCCAGGTACTTCGGGGGTCAGCTAACCTCTTGGCATTTCAATGTCTTTGAAGGAGACCAGACACCAAGTGAACACCAAGTGACACCAAGGAGAATATCAGCATGTTTCTACAACTTCAGCAGAGACCAAGCCCTGCTGCAAATTTGTCAGGCCAGGCAAAAGGGCCAGACAGTTGCAGTGATAGTGTAAATATTTTGTACAGTAAATAAATAAATGTTTAAAAGGACTAAGGAGTAGAGATGTTTTTTGCATTTTCCCAGGAATTCCTTCAGAAGCAGTCAGCTTAGGGTGGAATGTACACCAGGAGCCCTGGCCTGTCCCCGGCCTCTTGCCCTTTCACCCTTCCCTGATTGCTGTCCATGGTGCCAGGCAGGGCCATGTCATTTGCTCAGACAGCCAAGGGGCCGAACAAGTGCTTGTGCAGTTTGGCAAGAGCAAAGGATGTCTATTCTCATCAGTCCTTTAAACATAAACTTATTGCTTTACTACATAAGAAACTCAGTGTAGAAAATTTGAAAATAAAAAAATACAACGGAAATAAAGTGCCTGCCATCCCAAGGTAACCACTATAAACACTTTGATGTATCCTGATTTGCATGTAATTAACACATTTATTTCCCACCATCACCCCACCCTCCCACAAGTGCTCTGGGTGTAGCAAACGAAAACACTGCTCCTCAACACTGCCAGGTGGTACCAATTCTTTTCCAACCAAAGATAAGCTTGGCAGAAAGAAAACCAGGCCTGACTTGAGCCTAGAAAGAAAGTATTAAGGACCCTGGCTTTCTAAGGGAAGTCATGATGGTGTCTTGTGCAGTGGTTCCCAATCTGGAAAATCAGAACAAAATCCCATTTGGAATCTTCGCTGGAAAACTATTTTAAAGTGCATTCATTCTACGCCCATTTTATTAAGCTCCTGAGTAATATAAGATGTCAAAAAATGAAACAAAATTCTATATCTGTTTACATTTTTAGGTTAACCATCCTACATTTTTTATACTTGCTGCTCTTGTGTCTTTGAATGGGTCACTATGAACACTCACTGAGTGATTTTAGCCCTTCGTGAAGTTATTCGTAAGACTCAGAAGGCTGGTATGATTATTCTTGAATCAAAACAATAAATACTAGCTTCATCTCATGAGCTCTTACCTCTGAGCCACTGCGATAGAGCTCTCAGCCATACCTAGAACCCCAGTTGCGGTTGAACCAGAGGGCTCCTTACCTCTACTTTGGCTTCACTTAGATCCTGAAGAATAATAATCCAGCTCCAGGCATCTTGTAATACTTTTATTTAAAAATGAAAAACTTGCCCTGGCTGGTGTGGCTCAGTTGGTTGGAGCATTGCCCCATAAACTGAAAGGTTACAGACTATTGCCTGTCAAGGCACATGCCTGGGTTGCAGGTTCAATCCCCAGTCTGGACGTGTGTAGGAGACAGCTGACTGATGTTTCCCTTCTCTCTTGAATGAGAATAAGAAATCAACCTGGAAAAAATGAAAAACTTGTTTTGAGATAAAACGTATATACAAAAAATAAAAGCGTACAAGCATGTACAATTTAATAAGTAATTACAAAGGACACACACAGGTGACCACCATCCAGGTAAAGAAATACAACATCGCAGCACCGCGGAGGAGGTCGCTCTCCATCCTGGCAGTGACTATTACCATGGAATATAAGGAACAATTAGCAACTCCCCTTCCAAACAGCCTGTGGCCTCTCGATAAGATGCTAAACTAAGCAAGGTCAAATTCTCCACGGTAATTACTATACCTCACAGTTAGTTTTAAAAGTCTTCTGTGACTGTTGTTACCCCATGAGACTCGTTCAGATTCCTGATGCTGAATCTGATGAATCCTGTTCAATGTCTATAAGGTCTCTCTGCCAAGATTTTCCCTCAGATAATCTAAATTGGATGCCTCTTTGCAGTACCCTTACCAGGTACTGTGGGCTGGTCTAACATGACCATGATTCTCTTGGGTGGTCAGTGGCTGGCTCTCAAGTCTCATATAAGTAGTATTAAATACGACTTTGCATTAAATTGTCTCAAAAACTGGAATGGGCTAGAATTTCTGACTCAGTACTGAATCTGTACCCTCTAACAAAGCCAACCCAAAGTTACTGGGGAGCTTAGCCTTTCTTCTTAGAGTACAAAGAGTGGATTTACGGGGGGTATTATAACGATCTTGGTGTGTATCGGATGGAGTGGTGTTGCCTAGAGTTAGAACATGCCTCCCTAGGAATGCCGCCCCTAGCCCCGGTTCGATTCACTTCAGTCTTGCTTGTAGAAGGGCGCTTTGTGGAAGCCACAGCAGGAACCTGGTTCTCTGCAGTGAACTCAGGTGTAGTCCCTACAAGCTGGCCAGTGAATTCATGGTAAGGAGATGTGGAGGACACAGTTTGTTACCAGAATTCAGAGGAGTGATAGCTGTAGGTCTTTGACAGGGCGCCAGGTGGCTTTGACAAAGTTGTCCAGTTTGCCAATAGAACACTGGTTCATTAATACCAGCCAGCAGCAGCAGCTTCTTAACCACAAGATGGTAAAAATGTTGGTAGCTCTAGGGGCAGGGAGTAGACATGCCAGCACAGAACCGTAGCATCCGGTCACCTTCAGGAAGATGATGGATAATGTCAGGATGAAGTCTGCAGATGCGGTTGCTACTTCCTTGAAGCACCCAATTAGCAGACCTTTGTGGTCCGATGGCTACGAATGCCTCAGACCAGCTTCTGCTGGCAAAGCAGGCATCTTTCTGAGTGAGCAAGGTCTTAGAACTTCATCCCTCAGGGGTGACTCTAGGAAGAATTCAGTGTTGGGCTATTCAAGGAGCTAGGCGAGGAGACAAATTTACAAACTTCACTGTGTTCTTGACCAGGTGACTCATCCTGATGACAGGAACCTACTTGTGTTCTGTTTCTGACTCCAGGGCCTTTAGCCTCACGCAGCACAGGCATCTCCTATCATTTGGCCTTTTCTCAAAGAAGATATTTTTGGACACTGCATCAAGTGTGAGCAATGGGATCCTCAAAGGATAGAGGGCCATGATTGATGAACATTCATATTTTATTTTTAACTCCCATGGTTCAACCTCAGGCAAGGCAATCTTTTTTCAGTATCAGTTTCCTGACCTGCAAAATGATGTTATTAACTAAATAAGAAAATTAGCTAACAACTTGGAGCTCTTGGGAAAAAAAGTTTTCTATATATAGTATGTGTGGTACCATATTGACTATGGCTTAGTGCCCTGGTAATTTCCAGAGCGGCAGGCTATATGGATCTGGGAGCAGCAGAGTATGCTAAAGCGGGTGACTGGTACGGGGTGGTGGCCCTTTTCCCACCAGGCAGGCCAGAGAGAATGGGTATTCAAGACACCTAGCCCAAACATCTGTGGGGAAGTCCCAGGGTCAGAAGAGGCCTCCTCTCCCTCCTTCCTATGACCTTCCTAAGGCCAGAGGAGGTATTTGAGGGGACTGCATGTCAAACCTATGTCATGCAGTAAGCAGCCTAGTAATAGGCAGCTTAACATCCTTGACTTAACTTACCTGAATACTGAATCATGATAATAGTTGCCGTTGTTTAAAACTTTCCTTATGCTAGGAGCTTTAATATACATTGTCTCATGTTGACAATGACCCTGCAAGATAGGTTTTGTTTTTTACATTCTGCACAAGACAGTTGAGGCTCAGAGAGGATAAGCAACTGCCAAGTTTCCTTACCTAGTAAGTGGCAGAGCTGTATTTGAACACAGGTCTGTTTCATGTCAAAGCCCAAACTCTCCACACTGCTGGTTTGTCTCAGGCAGATTAGTTTAGACTAAAAACTGCCCAGGCACTGGGCCACCAGAGCTCACCGACTCTGCCTCAGGTTCCCTTGGTGACATCGTGTGACAGATGAACACTTTATACCTTTGTTTACTTGTCAGTCACTTGAGGATATGAGGTTTATGAGGAGAGGGCCCTGCTTTAAGAGATACAGCTATTAGTAGTGGCTTTAAAATTGTTTGCATGAAGAAAGTTCCATGGAATATCAACTAATGACTTGAGTGAAGCAACTTCCAAGTTTAAATGGATCCTGCATGAAGAACACAAGACACCCTGAGGATATAACGGAGTAGGGGGAAACCCCTGCAATTCCAATATCCCACTTTGGTGGAAAATCCATAGATTGCATGCAAATGAAATAATTAGAATGAAGTCAGGCACACTACACAATACCCTGATGTTTATCTTTGGTAACTAAGGCTGCAGAAAAAGGATCATTTAAATAATTGTTCTGTGTCTAAACTCTCCTTGCATGAAACATAGCACCATTTGGCAAAGGCCAAAGTCCTGGTGGATATCTCACCGAGGAAGCAAACGTTTTCCAGATTGCCAGAGTCAGAGGGAGGCATACACACACCTCAGACAGGACTGTGATTCTGTTGGAACTATAAGCACAGCACCTCCAGGATGAGAGGGTCTGTACCCCTCTAGGATGAGGTCATTTCTTCAACCCTCACTTCACCTGCATTGTGCATTTGCACATGAAGGAAACTTTCTCAATCTTCCTGTCCTCTTTCTACGGACCAACAATGTTCCCTCTCTCCTCAGAACTCCCACTCAAAGGAGTTGCCAAGACATTCCTCTGCTTGCCCATTAGCAGAGTCAGGGATATCAGAGAGCTTGCAAGCCAGCTGGAGAGCCTTTGATATCTTTTATGTTTGTCAAAAACAAAATGTTGTTTTATTGTGTAAGAGGAAATTATGTGTGTGTCATCATTTTGTGCTAGGAGGTCTAATCCTACTACAAGTTGCCATTTCATTTCTTTAATGTACCTCCCCCAATCCCACCATGAAAGAAAGAGAAAGAAAGAAAGAAAAGAAAAAAGAAAGAGGAAGGAAGGGAGAAAATGAAAGGAAAGGAAAAGAAAAAAGAAAAGAAAAAATGAGGGAGAGGCAGAGACAAATGTATTTAAAAAGTAAATAACTTAAAAAAAAGAAAAGAAAAGAAAAAATGTGATGCTTCTGTTCCATCACCAGGTTTGTGGCTTCCCTTTTCCCTGCTTTGCATCCCTGCATTTCAGCAAGCATCTCCTGTGCATCAGGCACTGTGCAGGGAGCTAGAGACACAAAAGATAGAATGTGATCCCTGCCTCTGAGCAGCTCACAGCCTTGTTGGGAGAGACAGACATATAAACAACCTACTTTCCTTACAGT